ACATAGTCTATGAATATAGAAAGAATAAAAAAAAAACTCCATCAGAAGTAAAAATTGTGAGTTATAATATTTAAGGAAACAACAAATATAATTAGGGCATAATTGCTCGTGATTTGATGTTAGGGCATCATTACTGCTGTGGCTGTGAGATGGCCAAGAAGTTAACCTTGACTAGGATGGATTTCCATTACAAACCCTTTTGCATCGACTATTCATACTCTTGTTACCAAAAACTGAACCAGTCAGTGTTTTCTTTTGGAGCAATATTCAATCAGAAAGTTCTTCAAAGAAAAAAGAAAAACACAAAAAATGCCACAACTGATTTATATGTGGCTGATCTGGTCAAGTCAGTTTTTGTGCCGTTCTGCACCATTTCATGCACTCTTCATGTTTTTAAAATGCTTCAGGCTTGGCCAGTGTTGGTTCCTCGACTTAAAACCGATGTTCCTGGTTGTAACCAGCCGTAATCGCCAGTGATGATTCTTGACATCTAAGTCAGATCAGTTTGGCACAGTGCCTGCTCTATGTACGAGATCAGGTCCCTTTTTAAATCACGGGAGAGCTGGACCTAAGTGGAGTGATTGAAAAGGGGTCCAGCTGTGCACAAGGTTACAGCCTTGAAGGGAGATTAGCTAAATCAAGTATGGTGGTTTTTATTTATTTTTACGGGCAGACTCACCTTGCAAATGTAATATGGTACATGCAAAAGCACCAGTCTGTCAGCGCGAGTAGGTGCAGTTAGTGCAATAGACTCAGCTGATGATGGGTGTATTTCATTCGAGTCAGACAGAGCAGGTTAGCTGTATTGTCGGTGTTTATGCACCAAGTTAAGGAGCTGCTGTATTTATTTGCAGTGTTTAAGTTTCTGGATCACTGATAAAGATTTAGGTCTTTTTGTCGAGTATGCTGTGTAATAGTCATTTCAATCAGCTGGGGTTGCAGTTATTCTTTCATACTTTAAATATCACTTTTAGAACCCAGAGTGCAGAGTGACGTGTCAATTTTCTCATCTAACTCTTACAAGGAAGAAATTTTCCAGAAGTGTCTAATCATTAATGCTGTGTTGCTGTATTATTATTATCGGCATGTTTAACCACACGCTTGAGTGCCCGAAATTCGATTTATTAGCTACAATCTTCCTCTGCTCTTCATCTGGATTTGGTGCAGACAACACTGTGCACGTCTCTGCTCCATGTAAACACTGCGGCACGAGCTGTCAGAGTTTACTGCTGTGTGACACGCAATTAATGAACTTTGAGTATGATTTAGTTCCTGTCTGTGCGTGCGTTGCAACACGTCTCTAAGAGGCAGCGGCAGCTCTGACAGGACCACACAGCGACCTTGACAGGAAACAGCTGATTAGGTCATTCTCTAAGCTGGCTAAGTCCCAAGTATTAAATGTACTACTGCTTCCAAATGGCTCTACAGTAATTTCAGTCAGCAAATACAATAGATTTCAACTTTTACTTACAACGCAACAACCTTTCAATAGACTAGTGGTGGAGGTGAGGAGGAAATAAAGAGAGACATAAAAACAGGGATCTCTTTGAACTCTGCAGCAGAGAAAAGACATCTGAGAGGAGAGCAAGCGGAGATTAGCATGCATTCACACACTACAGATTGGCAACACATGTTTCCGGCAGGGGGTAGAAGGAAAAATCCACTGTAAAACAGAATTCATGTAATATATGCCTATGATCCTAAACAGCTTAGACTTAATTTTTCAAGGATGAACAAGTAGAAATAACAGGACCAAGACTATGTTGTTGATGCATCAGGAGAGTAATCCTAAGAGCGGTTACATTCACAGTGGACAGCAGCTGGAGTTCCACATCTGTACACCTGTACAAGGTAT